CGGGAAAATTTACGGATCCACAATGTCGATCACGCCGGAGCAGTTACAAGCAATTCTCAAACAGCAGCAGGCATAATTCGAGGCCGCGCACCTGAGAATGATAGAGATCATATTACAACGTCTCAGCAGCATCCCAAATCCAACAAAACCGGTTAAACAGTCCATATCTATTGACGCTGTTGCCGCAATGATCACGGAATTCGTGTACGGCCCGGATGCAGGAACTGAATTTGATTCCTGGTTCAAACGTTGGGAAGATGTATTCCGTTTTGAATTCGCAGATGTTGATGGTGGATGGATGGTGCGATTACTGTTCCGAGAGCTGGGAATCAAAGAACATGATCGTTACAGAGACATGATCCCGCCCAAAAGTCTACGTGATTTCACTTTCGAAGAAACGGTCCAGCAACTTTCAGACACGTTTGGTGAAAAAGCGTCTTTGTTCAATATCCGGTACCAATGCCTCAAGTTGGCGAAAAATGATACAGATGACTATGTGACACTAGCGAGCATTGTGAACCGGGAGTACGAGAAATTCAAATTGTGTTCCATGACTGATGATCAATTCAAATTCCTGATATTCTTGAGCGCACTTCAGTCTCCCCTCGACGCAGAAATCCGCACTCGTTTTCTAAATCGCATTGAACAAAACCCGAACATCAATTTTTGGGCCAGCGGCTTGAGAACCTCAAACATGACTTAGTCATTGTTGAGCAACGCGGTCCGGCTACAGCCTCATCCAATTTCCATGCTCTCGCAAAGCCACGGTCAACTTCCTCCCGGAAGCCGCAAGAAGCAGCTTCCCGAAGACCCCGCACAGTATGTTGGAAGTGCGGAGCATGGCATTACGCACGCTGCTGTCCCTTCTAGAAACACGTGTGACTGACGAATTGTTCGCAAAGCTAAACGGCGGCACCTGCTTCGCCCAGCTTGACCAAGCAGACGCTCAATTACAAATAGAAGTCGACGAGGACTCACGGGAACTAATGACGATCAACACCCACCGTGGTCTGATCCAGTATCAGCGACTTCCATTCGTCGTTAAGACCCCGATTTTTCAACAGGTCATGGACACCATGTTCATGGGTCTTGACAGTGCTGCTGCCTATCTGGACGATATAATTTTGACTGGCAAGAAACCCACCGAACTCTCTTTTGAAAGTGTCAAACAGTGTTGCGCTCTGACCTGCTGCTGACTCACTTCGATCGGGAACTCAAAATTATAGTGTCTGCCGATGCGTCAAACCATGGTGTTGGTTCCGTCATCTCGCATATGTTCCCATATGGACGAGAAAAATCCAATAAACACGCTGCAAGCTCCCTGGCGCCAGCCGAACGTAACTACAGCCAAATTGAAAGAGGCCCTTGCTATTATCTTTGGCTTAAAAAAGTTCCACAAGGTGTTACATGGTAGCCACTTCACACTCTTAACCGATCACAAACTGTTAGTCGCCATCTTCGGTTCGAAAAAAGGTGTTCCAGCTTACTCCGCTAACCAACTGCAGCGCTGGGCTACCATGCTGCTGGGATATGACTGCGAAATACAGTTCCGATCCACGACAAAAATTGGGCAGGCAGATGCTCTTTCGCGCCTCGTTTACCCTTGAAGTCAGCAGACTGAAGACACGGTCATCATGTCTATGTCGGTGAAATCAGACATGCAAACCCAAATGACGGACACAATACGAGCACTACCTATCACTTTTACTGAATTACAACGGGCAACCAGACAGCATCCTATTTAGCAACAAGTCGCTCACCACCATCGCACGCATTGGCCAACGCGCATGTCCGGCGCCCTAAAACAGTTTTACCGCCGTCGAGAATCTATATCAATGGTGGATGATTACCTCCTGTTCTCCGAATGCATCGTCATCCCACAGGCACTACAACGCAGAGTTCTACAACAATTTCACGCTGGCCACCCAGGGATCAACCGCATGAAGGCCCTCGCTGGAAGCTACGTCCAGTGGCCTAACATGGACCAGCACATCGAAGAGCTTAGACACTCCTGCTTCAAATGTGCCCAAGCAGCCAAGGCACCTGTCAAGACCAACCTCCAGCGGTGGCCAAAACCGGTAGCCCCATGGTCACGGGCTCATGTTGATTTTGCCGGACCGCTCAATGGGCACCATTTCCTCGTCGTGGTTGACGCCTACACAAAATGGCCAGAAATATTCCTAATGGAACGTGCAAACACCGGAGCCACCATCAATGTCCTTCGTAGCCTGTTCAGCAGGTTTGGATCTCCGGAGACGCTGGTGAATGACAATGGTGGTCAATTCACATCAGCTGTTTTTTCTACGTTCTGTGAACGATCTGGCATAAAGCACGTCCGTGTGCCGCCTTACCACCCCCAGTGGAACGGTGAAGCCGAACGTTTCGTGGACACCTTTAAGAGAGCACTTCAGAAAT